GTCTGTTATCTCTCTCATAACTCCCCAATCCTCGGCTTGTTCTTCACCCCCACTACCAGATCGTCACCAGTGGATATCTGAGCGCCGAACACTGCTCTCCCCGCCTCTGCTCATCTCCCCTTCCTTTTCTTTTCTTTTTCTTTTTCTTGTTCTTTTTTCTTCTTCTATCCCCCCCTCCCCCAAAAAAAACTGCAAAGATCCTGTATCGGAGCTCCGGTGACCTTTCGGGTTGATCCTTTTCGACAGCGGATTTCCTCTTAAAAAATTATAAGATTTCTACCTTGCAATTGTTCAGTTTGTTGTACCACGGTAGAACTTGGTGAATTTTGTATAGTTCTCTGCTTTTTCCCTATATTTCCACTACTACTGTCAGGGCTACACCAGTGGTAGCGGTGACAACCCTCCTGCTTTTTGGGTCGTGGTATATTCTGTGTTTTCAGGGAAGTTCGCGAACTTGTCGAAGACATGTTGGGCGCACAAGCACTAGCAAAGGAGAGCAATCTGAGCGAGCGTCATCAAAGGGCGGTGGGAAGCGGTGCGTGAGCGTATAACTACACCAAGTACAGCCAGTCAACACAGGTTTGGTTCTCGAGAGTTGGTACCTCCCTTTCTATGGTTTCCCTTTTGGTGTTTAGCTAAATTGTTGTCCCTTTAGTTCACAATAGTTCAATCATTCTACAAGTGTACTTGTAGTGACTTGTTTCCTTCTAGTTTGATTCGTTGGTCGTTGGGCACTAGCGAGCCCTCTTTAGATTGGCAGTAGGGGTAAGTGGTTGCAGTCTGGGATGGTATATTAAGGGCATGTCCTCGTGTGGGGCAGAGTGTGGGGCCAGGGTCAGGGTGTGGGATGGGAGGCAGGGGAGGTAGAAGGGGCAAGGGAGCCTATAGGTTGAGAATCGGGTCATGGAACATAGGTTCGCTGACGAGTAAGTCCATAGAGTTGGCAAAGATCCTCCAGAAGAGGAAGATTAATATAGCGTTTGTCCAGGAGACTAGGTGGGTTGGATCGAGGGCGAGAAACGCGGATGGGTATAAGTTGTGTTACTCTGGAGTCCACAGGGGTAAGAATGGAGTGGGTATCCTGGTTGATAGCCATCTTAGAGAGTCGGTGGTTGAGGTCAGGAGGGTGAATGATAGACTAATGACTATTAAATTGGTGGTGGGTGAGTGTACTTTAAATGTCGTTAGCGCGTACGCGCCACAAGTTGGCTTGGATGAGGAGATTAAAAGGCGCTTTTGGGAGGGGTTGGATGACATCGTTCGTAGCATTCCACCTTCCGAGAGGTTATTTATAGGAGGAGATTTCAATGGTCATATTGGGTCATCCGCAGGTGGTTATACTGAGGTGCATGGCAGCTTTGGTTTTGGGGAACGGAACGGAGGGGGCACTTTGCTGTTGGACTTTGCCAAGGCATTCGATCTAGTGATTGCAAACTCAAGTTTTCCGAAGTGGGAGGAGCATTTGGTTACTTACCAAAGTTCAGCGGCGAAGACTCAGATTGACTATCTCCTCC